ATGATGTGTGGGGTGTGTGTGTGTGGTGTGCATGGTGTGCGATGTGATGTGAGGTGTGTGTGTGGTGTGCATGGTGTGCAATATGATGTGGTGTGTGTGTGTGTGTGGTGTGCATGGTGTGTGATATGATATGTGGGGGGTGTGTGTGTGGTGTGCATGGTGCGTGCAGTGCGTGATATGATGTGTGGGGTGTGTGCATGTTTGTGAGTGTGGTGTCCATGGTGTGTGATGTGTGTGTGTGGTGTGTGCATGGTGCATGATATGATGTGTGGGTGTGTGGGTGTGTGGGTGTGTGATGTGCATGGTGTGCAATATGATGTGGTGTGTGTGTGTGGTGTGTGCATGTGCATGATATGATATGTGGGTATGTGGGTGTGTGGTGTGCATGGTGTGCAATATGATGTGGTGTGTGTGTGTGGTGTGCATGGTGTGTGATATGATGTGTGGTGTGTGTGTGCGTGGTTTGTGTATGTGTGTGTGGTGTACCTGGTGTGTGATATGATATGTGGAGTGTGATATGATGTGGTGTGTGTGTGTGGTGCTCAAGGAGATATAGCAGCATGAGTGGCCAGGCGCCCAGCGGCATGTCCTGCTGTGTGAAGGGAGAGTAGACTTGGGGGCAGTGGTCAGCCTGCTGATTTCATCTGGTGGGACAGTTGCCATGGTGGCCGGGAAGCTTCACGCCACAATAGCTCCCCTGGTTCCAATTCCTGCTGTGCCCCTTGCTGTGTGGGAGAGAAAGTTCTAGTCCTGCAGGCCTCTGTTGCCTGTCTGAAGATGGGTGTAAAATCGGGCTGCTGTAAAGGACCTGATAAGCTTCACTGGTGTAGGACAGTGTCTGACAGGTAGGAGGAGCTCAGCAGGTTTTGAGGAAGTTCAGCAGCTTCCTCTATTCCCAAATACAAAGTTGAAATGCCCCGATCTGGTCAAAGAGTTTGACATTTTATCTCCTCTGAGCTCCTGGCTCCTTGCTGCAGAACCATACCTCTAGCGTGGAATGTTGTGTGTAATATGATCTCAGATGTGTGGAGTTTCTGCCCAGCACACTGAGGACTGCTGGAGATGCAGAGGTTCCAGGCTGTGACCTCAGATTGTACTGACACCCTTGGCCACCCCATTTCTGCTCCCATGAAGACAAGGAAGAGTTTCCCAATTTGTTAGGTCAGCTTTTTTTCATCAGGAATTCGCTCCACCTGACCAGAACAACTCAGAGGAGGAAAAGTTCATTTTGAGCTCACAGCTTCAGAGGTCTCGGAGCTTCAGAGGTCTCAGTCCGTAGACAGCGACTCCCTCCCTGTGGGCCCAGGTGAGGCAGAGCATCTGGCTGAAGGGCGTGGTAGAGGATGATGTTGCAGCTCATGGTGGCCAGGAAGCAGAGGGAGGAGGAGAGCCAGGGGACAAGGATAATCCCCTAGGCACCCCTAGAGACCTGCCTACAGGGACTGCTGGGCACAGTAGTCCTTTCAAATTATTAATCTATAAGGTGGATTGATTAGGTCACAGCTACCACGACCTGATCATTTCACCTTTTTGGGGAACACCCCATAGCCACACCATAACACAACTCATTTAAATTAAAAAGTATTGAACGATCATCCCTCATAATTAATTGCTCTCAGCTACCCTCTCAGTGGGTGCTTTTACATGTCTCAGCCTCCAGGACTTAAACCATAGCAGAGGAAACAAGAAGGGTGTCTTCTTTGCTCACAAGTGTCTGGATTCCCGGTGTCTAGTCCTCACCATGTCATTTAGAGCAGACACGTTTCAGGATGACTGTCCAGCTCATGGTGGACCTTGCCCTGTGTTCAGGGGTGGTTTCCTGACCTCTGTGTTTGTCCTACATCCCTGTGGCCAAACCCCTTACCCTGGATGGTGTAAGACATGGGCTCCGACCTAATCTGGACCACACAGGATCTTGTTCCCAGGGATTTGGAATTAGCTCCAAGTGCCTCTCAGTGACTGGGTGGCATCTTTCCTTCAGTTCAGTGGCATCACCATGTCCCCGGGGAAGGCAGGCCAAGGGAGCACCAGTCTATGGAGAGAGGAAGCAGGCATCTTGCTAGGGGTCACCAGGGCTCATTGTGAGTCACTGTACTCTATCCACGTCCACTCCTCAGCTCCTGGACCCGAGACTCCCGCCTATAGGAGGGGCAAGGGCATATTGGATGCTGGCTCTGAGCACCTGGACCAGCCTTGCCAGTGCTGTGAGGGGACATCAGGAATTCGCTCTACCTTACGTGGATTTCAGGATAAAGGGAACTTCCGTGGACAAGGCATTCTCTAAGTCCCTGTGTTTCCACAGAGACAGCGTGTGATGGAGGACAGAGGGGCATTCCAGGATGTGATTTCAGTGAGCACCTGGGGCTGCCTGTCCATGGTGGATGCAGTCCAGCAGAATCAGCCTGCCACCAGGCGGCTGACTGACCACCCTGGGGCATGGTGCCATATTGGAGACATGGAGACACTGCTGTTGGCACTCGGGACTCAGAGATGGCCATAGCCAGGCTGGACTTGGTGAATGGATGTCTGCTGCTGAGCCCATGAGCAGACTTCTTCCTTGCCACCATGGCCACTTTGTCCGTTGGGCAGTGACAGGAAAGAGGCTGGGGAAAGATGCTGGTTGGTATCCACAGAACGTGTCATCCTATCACTTGATTACAAACTGCTCAGCTGAAGTCACCCTTTCGTGAGCATTCACACGAATACAAGTACCTTCCCTTTTTCGATGCGTGCTGAGAGGGCTATCCACATATTTCCTCCTCAGACCTGTTGGCCCTGATTTTCCAGTCATGCTCCCTTCCAATACTGAACATCTAGCCAAACCAGTGGGCACAGCCCTTGGGTCAGTACCTAGTTACACACTGGGATGGGACGTTTCTCCCTCCAAGCCAACTAAGCAGGCTCCCTGCTGGAGATTGTGCCCCTCCCCCAGAGGATTGTGCTTCATTGCTGTTCTTTCAGGGGGTCAGAGAGGGACAACAGGGCTGTAGCTGGAGAGTCTGATATCCTGCAGAACCATCTGAAAACCAGTCCTGAGTTTTCTGTTGTCAGCTTATTGTAGGGAGGTCCCTGTGAAGCTGTGGTTGTGGACTGGGAGAGAGGGCAGTGTATCCAGGGTGGGCTGTGGCATCTGGACCACTTTCTCATGTAATCAATTGCTTGTGCCTTCAGGCCCTGCTCAGGTCTGGTCTCAATCATACCATTTTCATTTCATGGCGAGTATTCTGTGCACACCCAACTTGAGTATTCTGTGCACACTCAAGTTGGGTGTGCACAGAATACTCGCCATGAAATGAAAATGGTATGAATGAGACCAGACCTGAGCACTTGGTTCATGATGGGGAGCTCAGGTTGCATGGTCAGTTTCATGGTTAACAACCTGCCCTTCACCTTGGAAGGGATACCGAACATGCTGAATGCCACTGGACCCCTAGGAAGCCCATTGAGTTGGAAGATGCTCCACCACCAAGCTACATCCGTACCCCTTTTTATTTTCTTTTTAAAAAAATTTGAGATAGGGTCTTGCTAAGTTGTCTTGGCTAGCCTCAAACTTGTGATTCTTCTGCCTGGACCTCATGAATCACAGAAGTTATAGGCATGTGGCTCTGTGCCTGACATATTTTTCTTTTTTTCTTTTTCAAGGATCAAATAGATGAGTTGAATAGGATTTGGTGGGTGTCATCATCCCTGCATTCTTTAAGCTCCTGGTAGTGGTTTAATCTCCTCAAGCCTTCGTGGAATGAGGGATCATTTTTGGCCATTTTCCCAGCTAGAGACACTTGGAGTGGCTTCCAATGGGTGATTTCCTTCCACAATAATCCTTTGTCCACAGGTCTGGGAAGCTATGGGAGCATTCCATTAGTTTCAGGTATGGCTTCCAGAACTGAAGTATCAACCATAGGATGTGTACAGTGATCCATGGACCCCTCATGGGATGGACTAGAGGGCACCCGGCCTCCATAAGCCCCTACTCTGACTGGTTGTCCAGTGACATTTTGGTCTCCTGGATTTGGTTGCAGTTCAGAGCCAGTGTGTAGGAATATTTGGAGAGCTGTCAAGGATGCTGGGTGACACATTTATTTCTCACAGCTGTGAAAGGTGAGTGCTTGGGGCCCATCCAGGGCAGGTGAGCAGGTCTTACGTGAGACATCTGCCCTGACATTTCAGTCTCCTGAAGCCTTGGATCCCTTGCTCTAGAGTGGACCGGAGCAGCTCTGACATTTCAATGTTATCTAGTGTGTGCCACCTCTTGGTCCCTATTTCAGTCAACCAACCAAAGTTAGAGCCCTTTCCAACCCTGCCCATTGCCATCTGAGTCCAGAATCTCCCCCTAGTGGTATCAATCAACACATTGAGCCTGATCCAACTGCGCCCACACCCTGTAACCACGCGCATGTCCACCTATCCCACAGCTTGCTGTTTTTCATGCATACCTGTGGGTTCACCCACAAGGCCCGTATCCAGTTCTAACAAGTCCCTCTCATACTCCCAGAAGGTGTTCCTGACCTCATGAGACCCCTCCGATCCCTGAGCACCTGCAGCAGCATGGTTTGTGCCATGCCTCTGTCCTTGGCCAATACTAAGGCATGTTATTTAGTTCTCTATGTGCATGGTGCCTGCCGCCCAGAGTTGAGTTCCTCAGGGCAGAAACTCTATCTGTCACTTCCTGTACCCACTGTCCTGTAACAGGTGCATTCTCCAACTGCCAAAGGAAAGGGGTGAAGGCGCTAACCAGTGCCCGGAGCTTGGCATGGATCATAGCCCAGTGCTGCCAGAGATTCAAAAGTCGGAGTTGCATTTCACTTCAGGATGGCTGCTGCACTCTCCCCTCACTGCCATCTGTCGCTTCCCTGCAGCCATCCCTGGCCCCTCACAATCCAGGCTTCCGGAGGCCCCCCCACCTTTCCTTCCCGGGGCACCGGTCCCTCCCCCGCACTTCCCCAGAAATTGGCGAGAGTGAAGAGCAAACTTCCTGAAGTCCCACCCGCGCCAGCCCCGTGCCTGGGTGTGCGCGCGCGTGCCAGGGGCCGCAGCTGGAAAGGAAACCGCCGGCCTCGCGGAGGAGGAGGAAGGAGCTTCCCCTGCGGCGTCAGCCCCCTGCCCACTTCCCGCTTCCCTCCCGCGGGCGCGGCTGGAGCGGCGGGCCCTGGGCATGCCGGGCGCGGGTCTCCAGGGCGCGGCTGGCGGCAGCGGGAGCCATCGCGCAGGTAGGCACCTGGGATCCGGCGAGGGGAGCGTGCTGCCCTCGAAGTCCTGAAGCCTGGGCGTTAGTCTGGTCGCAACTCGGGCCCAGCGGGCGCCTTTCTAGGGGAGGGAAACCGAGGCAGGGCGCGTGTTGCGTGGGGCGAGGGTAGGGCGGGCCTCTGGCTGCAGGCACAGCGCGGACCTGTGGTCCCTGCCCCAGAGTGCGGATCCTGTAGTCGGTGTCCACGGGGCGGGGAAGGCGCAGGCTGTGGCGGGGGACCCGAGCGTGTCCGCCCGTGCCTGGAGACACCCAGACGCAGGCAGCTGGTGGGGAATGGGAGGGAGAGCTGGGGCAGACGGCTCCCGTAGCGGCTGCTGGGCGCCCTGTTCTACCGCCCACTTCCGACTTGGGACAGTGACGCCTGGCCGCTGGGCCAGTACAGACTACTCCATTTCCACCACCGAGCACGGACCACCTGCCAACCCCCAGTGACGACATGGGGCCATAAGTGGATGGCTACTGCCAACAATGACAGGACTTCCACCATCCCACCCGTAAATACACGACAGCAGGAAGCTGGAGCTTTGCCCGGCCAGGAGAGGCCGACCACTGGACTCCAGGAGCCCACTTCCTGGAACATGGCCTCAGCGTTGCTGTGTGAAAGCACTTTGCAGTGTGTGTGGCTGGAGCACAGATGGGAGCTGGAGAGTATCAGGGTGTCAGCGCTGGAGGAGGGCCTTCTGCACCCAGGCCTGGATTCAGCCTCAGTTTGCTCACATGTAAGATGGAACTGACTCAGGCCCCTGCAGTTCCAGTGTGGTGGAGGGAAGCTTCTGGCCCCAGGCACAAGCCATACAGCAAGCTTGCAGGAAACAGCTCAGCTGCCATCTTCCCTAAGCAGACCTAATTAATTTGGAGTAAGTCAGGACACCACTTCGATTTGATTAAAGCATGAATAGCAGGGCATCTTAAGAGAAATTTAATTGTATTGTGCTCAGATGTGGCACATGAGATCCTCTGAGGTTCAGTTGAGACTGATTTCTGTGCTCTGTGACCTTGAACCTCAGTTTTTCTCATGCTTTCCAAAAAAAAAAAAAAAAAAAACCCGAAAAGAAAAAAGAAAGAAAAGAAGAAAGAAGGAAAATTGAGGGGTGTAATTACTGCCTTTTGCACTGACAGCGTTGCCTGTGGATCAAACAGGGTAAAACATCTGAAACAACTTGTGGAGTTGGAGTCGTGTGTGCAAACATGACACCACATTTTGTGGAAGGAATGGAGCGCCTGCAGTGGTGCAGAACTCCAGAGCGCCAGCTGCACTCTTATGAGTCCCTTGGATGAACTCCTCCCCAGGCTGCTGCTGCAGTCCTCTTTTGCCCTCTGATGCAGCTGGACTCCAGGGACCTGCTTCTTGTTCCAGCTCGCACAGTTGTTCTGCGGGCACTCAGGATTAGAACTTCGGTGTGGGTCCCTCTCACAGTGTGATCCCAGCCACTGGTTGATTGGGAGTTGCTGAGTGGGGCTGAGTTCAGAGCAGACCTAGGTTAGGTTGTAGGCAATGCACCCTACATATTTAGAAACCCTGGAGTGTAAGAGTGAAGTGTTAGCCTTGGCAGAAGAAATTGAAATAATCTTAATTTCTTTCATCCCTATTTTGTGAAATCCCGTTGAAAACTACCTTTTTTTTTTTAAAAAAAAATAACATTTGAAAGACTGGCTCTTGAAATCTTTTCAGAAATCTCAGTGGAAACTGGATCAAGATTTTTTTAAAAAATATTTATTCATTTATTTATTTATTTTTAGTTTTTTAGGTGGACACAATATTTTATTTTTATGTGGTGCTGAGAATCGAATCCAGTGCCTCACGCATGCTAGGTGAGTGCGCTACCACTTGAGCCACATCTTCAGCCCTGGATCAAGGTTTTAACACTTAAGTTTGCTGGAACCCGCAGGAGACTTCTGAGGTAAAGGCCAGGTGGGGAATGCTTGTGATGGTGTTGCAAGGCTAACTGCCCCCAGGACCTTACTACCTACCTGAGACGCCCTGGGGAGAAGTGGGACCTTCAGAGAGGAGAGGGAAAGCTGGCTTCTGCTGCAGAAACAATTCCTGCTTCATTTGTTTCTGAGATGAAGTTTCTATTATTGATTTTTATTTCCCCCAAAGCAATGCATGCTTATTACAGGAAGCACAGAAAACTTTGAATGAGCAAAAACCATCTTGCATTGAAAACACTGATCTGTCTGGGCGAAGTGGTGCACACCTGTAATCCCAGCGACGTGAAAGGCTGAGGCAGAAGGATCACAAGTGCAAGGCCACTCTCAGCAACTTACTGAGCCCTGAGGACTTAGTGAGGCCCTGTCTTAGAATAAAAAATAAAAAGGGCTGGGGACGTAACTCAGTGGCTAAGTACCCCTGGGTTCATTCCCTGGTACAAAAGAAAAAACAACCACCCTGCAACCTCCCAAGCAGCCTGGCATCTCGGTTCTTGTCTGTTTCTGTGATGTGTCATCGATTTCTAGTAGTTCCCAACATGGGATCCAAGCTAGATTGTTTTGTTCAGTGAACACAAGTGATACTTGTTCATTGCTCAAAACAAAGACATCAGTGTACAAAAGGGAACCAAATTAGTATGCTCATTAAAACTTTTCCTTGCTAAAAAATATTCTAAAATTTTAGGGGGATGTGACTTAGTGGTGGAGTGAGGTCCTGGGTTCCATCTCCATCACTGAGTTCAGATCTTGACATTTTGATTGGAGAACTATTAGAAGTTCAGTTATTGCTGTTTGAATTTTAGAGTTTGATGCTATAGTGGGCATCTTTCTGAGCTCTGAAGATCAGGAAGAGCAAGGTTTCTGAGTCTAAGCATGGGTGACATTTGGACCAGGGTCAGTAGACTGGAGCTGGAGTCATTCTTTAATGCTGATGATGATTGAGTTTATGAGCAGCTGCAGGCAGCCCAGGCAGAGCCCACTGCCCCAAGACTTTGGCAGCCTTCCTGGAGACAGGCGAGTCCTAGGCACATTGGGGGGCCACCTGTGGACACCATCCTTGGGCATCTTGTGTGGCTTTTTCTTGACTGTGGTAGACAGGCCTTGGCCGGTGACTTAGGTGCAAGAATTAGGCACTTTTTTTTTTTTTTTTAATATCAGATGCTTCAGGCTTTCAAACCCAAATTTCTCTTTCGAAATCAGAGTTCACCAGAGCTTCTTTGAGTGCAGACTTTGGGGTCAGCTTCCATTTCCTGATAGAGGCAGGAAAGGACTGTGGCTGGACAGTGAATGAAGTGTTTGTGTGCGGCGTTGGGGAATAGCCAGGGCCCACGTGGTGTGCTCCGCTGCTCCTGTGACCGCTGGCCTGTGCCTGCTTCCTTTCCCTCTGCTCGTCCCCATTGGCCACTTGCATCTTCTGATGGCTCAGAAATGGGTTGTGATGTGCTGCTGCTTCCTCAGCCACTCATGGCCACTTCCTCAGGATCACTGGCCAGCGATGGGAACAAGCAGGATCACAGAGCTTCTTGCTGGCTGAGCCCCTGGTGCTCTGGCAGCGAGGCCCTGATGCCCTCATCAGCGGGTACACATCTCTGCGCTGTGCCCTTGGAGGCCTCAGAACTCTACGTTGCCTCTCCCATGTCAACTTCAGGCTAATTTCCCAGCCTCACGGTGCTTGTCCTGAGACCATGTGGGTGAAATTCTGGTCAGCGGAAGCATCTCCCCACTGTGGTCGATGGGTTTGAGCTCTTGGAGACACAAAGGTAAGGCAGCAAAGTCCTCGAGGGGAGGGACTGCCAGCTCCGTCACTCATGGCACAGAGCAGCGAGGGTGTGCGTGGCAGCAGAGGTCAGGGTGTTACTGCTGTTGACCGGTGACGAGTCCTTGCTTCCCCAATGTTAAAGAATAACACCAGAGAAGCACACCGAGGCAAGGTCAGAGTGGAAATTAGAAGTTTATTAAAGGACAGCAGAAAAGACTTCTCCCGGAGGAAGAAGGGGACCCAAGAGATGGAATCCGTGGAAGTGCGATTGTTTCCCCTTTTTATAGTTCTTTCAGTGATGGGATGTAGGTGGGAAGGCCCGAGGGGTGGGACACAGGTGGGCCAAAGAAGTGATCTGGTCAGGAAGGACTTCTGAGTCAGCATCTTCAAGTTTGCTGGGGGCTGTTCATTAACACTTCTTTGGGATGGGCTCTGGGCCTTGGACTTTTCCATACTTCATTAACATTCCAAGAGTTGTTCAACTTTTCCCAGAATTCATTCTAAACATGGCCTCCATTTTTGATCTTACTTGATATTAGACCCGATTTACCTAACTACACTGACTACCTAACTTTAAATATGGCTTCAAGGGATCTGCTCTGTGCTCAAAGGACAGGAAGGCGAGGGCAGCAGCAGAGAGGGGAGGACCTGGCTCTCTTCTCCTGGCCCCAGGGTTCCCGGGGGCTGGGTTGCAGCCCTAGTTCTGTGCAATCCGTCTCCGCTTAAGACAGGTACAAAGTCAAGTCAACCCAATCTTTTTTTTTTTTTTTTTGAGTCATCGTGGCTCCTGAAAACTTACATTTCCAACCATATACATTTGCTATTCAGGTTCAGTGGCCTTCTCCTCATTCATTCATGTAGCACTGACCGGCTGTCTCACTGGTCCAGAATCAGGAGCAGCATTAGAGTCACATGTTGGTAAGGTGTCAATGTGTGACTCCTGTGAGAGGAAGTCAGCTGTCCTTTGACGGAGTGGGCCCATTTGAGAGGTGGAATTCCTTTTGTGCAGGGAAGCAGGTAGCCAGTGTTGGATGAGTCTGGGGAGGCTGTGAGGAGGTCTGGGTCTGCTGAGATGTATGGGCAGCCCTCCAGTTCCCGGGCTCTGTGGTAGGTGGGGATTGGTGATTTCCTGCCCCTGCTCACTGGGCTCTACCTTGCACCTCCTTCCTGCCCCGCCCCTGCCCCCAGGTGGTTCCGTTCCCGACCTGGACAGCACCTGCTGGGATCGCGTGGTCCGGCCCCCACTCCCCAATAGCTCTGCCAGTAATAGAAGC